GGAAGCTAACGACGAGCGGCGGCGATTCGAATCAGGCGGATGGACCAGCTGCGAGCAATGAGCGACGTCGCTGCGTAGGAAGTGGGGGACGAGCTGTCGGTGCCTTGTCTTTCGTAATCGACGGAATCAGTTTACTCCTGCCATCACCTCTTCAAAGACGATGCCGCTGCTCCCGATGACTACGAGGAAGGAGACGACACAGCTCCGTCATTCCATCTCATTCAGAGATCCGACGTTCCATATCCTTAACCATTGGTAATTTCTTCACATACTAAATATCTATTTAGTTATCTTATTCCTAATCGATATTTATGTATAATTTCTGGAATTTGTATAGTCACATTGAATTTGTGATGAAGCTTGAAGAATTTATTTCTAGGTTTAGAGTTTTTCTGTTGTCTATTAAGTGTTTGTGAAAATGTTTCAATGAAAATTTTAAACGAATATTCTGTTTCCTCTTCTTTCTATCAAGTTTGATGTTGGTGAAGTTGATTAAGTATATTTTCAATATTCTTGGTGAAGTTTGCTCAAATATGAAGTAAAATCACATCCTTTCATGGTTTCACTTCCATTCCTCACCTTGCCCAATTATACCCAAATGGATTTTTCAGTCAACTTTAATTGATTTTAAATGATACGGTTTACTTTACATCCAAAAGTTTCAACCTTACAAGTAATAGAAATATATCAATGAGATCTTGATGCTTTAAAAATCTGTTTGGATGTAAAATGGATTTAAACTATTTAAATTAGAGCATCATTAATTGTAATAGAAATACTAATGAGATCTTGATGCTCTAAAAATCTGTTTTGGATGTAATAGACATATACCAATGAGATCTAGATTATACCAATGAGATCATGACAATATAATCTTTCAAAACAGTTCATATTTTCAAGTTTCATGTGTCATATATCCCCCCTCCAGACTTCTAATATGTACTACTATTGCTACCACTATGTTCTAATGCGATTAATTTACTTGCCTGCTATAATGGATGTACATAATAGAGAGGGAGTATTATTCATATCACCTTTTCTTTATTCAATTTTACTCTTCTATATTCAGTTAATATTCTTCCAGTTGCCACATTCATACAGTCTTAACAACTACTTAATGAAGTCTAAACAACTATTTAGTGGAGCTTAGTTGATTAAATTAGGGGCATATGTTTTCCCCCTCTATTATCAATATACTTTAGAAATATCTTTATGTGTGAAACACTACAAAGCTATGTCTGAGAAACGAGTACTTTCTTTAAAAAATGTTCTCCATTAACTATCCCAGTGTTGAATTTAACTGTTTAATTAAATATTGAGCAGTTTTATAACTTACAGTTTAGTCATCCTGTAAAATATGAAGCCCTAACTCATTGGTGTGTAACATAGAAGTTCAGCACTAAGCTATATGTCCCTTTTATTTACGTTTTTATGAAGGTGTTGCACTGGAGAGATTATGATTCAACTCCTTGTACATGGGCTGGCATTTCATGTCATCTAAATGAACAAAGAGTCCTTTCTATGTACCCCTCTCTCTCTTCCCCTCCCCCTCTCTGTCTTCATTGGTATTAACTAGCTATGATATTTTTCATCGGAATTTAAGCAATTTACCTTATATGCAACACTATCTCAAATAATGTCACTAACATATGATATAACATTCTATGATTTCTATCAACACAAAAATGTCATTAATTTTTTACACAATGATACCAGTAGATAACAGTGACGTTAGATAACATTTATTTTTAATTTTACATTTCTTGTGAAATATTTTATGCATAAACAACATAGTCTTTCTCTATAAATTTTTTTTGTTTCCATCTACTCAGTATTTGTTTTACTTTTTTCAGCTAAATTCACCCCAAAATCGCCTTAATATTATACTAACGCACTTATCATAACCTTCGAGTCCAATATCTCCTATCTCCAGATTAAACCCTAGCCCTGCAACATAAACTTAATATTTCACTCCTATTTCAAGATATTACTTCCTCGTGCTAAAATTCAGACCTGGTGCCACATTCATATCTTTATTAATGCAATATTGACAATTATGATCTTTTAATTTTTTGTTATTGCTTATATATGTTTTCTATTCCTACTGTTCTGTTTGTGAAGATCAGGTAGCAGTCTCTAATGCGTTGCACATATCTTTTTTACCCTCTCCTTCAGTTCATTACAAGAGTTGTGTTTAATTCTAAGACTTTAAAGACTAAAATATTCAAGTTAGCTTAAGATTGGCTTCATTGTGGCATAGATGAGTACTTTCGGCAGTTGCTTCCCCTCCATCTCTTCAAAAGCTTGGTGAGAAATTTCTTGGGTAAGATCTTCAACGTTGTTGAAATATAATAAACTAAAGAATGAGCTTTTAAATAGTGACTGATGGTATAATTATCTATTTAGTAAACTTGCAGACTTCAAGTTTATGCCGCAATAATTGACTTGGATGTTAGTGATAATAGGGTATTTCTTTGCTCAAGGGTCTTCTTCAAGGGTACTTTCTTCAAGGGTCTCTCGTTTTGGGCATACTAGCAGAAAATGTTCCCGGGTTTCAAAGCCAATGATACAGTTGGCTGAGGTTGTTGAAAATAGGCAAATTGTTTCTGCCAATGTCACCCACGTAGCCCCTGTTCATGTTTCAGACCCTCCTACAGTTTCTGCCCCAGCTTTTAAAGCACATTTTTCTGAATTTGGTATTCTTAAACCTATAACTAAAGATAAAGATGTTGCATCTTTGTTTGATGACCGTAATGCCCATTCTGTTTTTGATGATATTGCTGCCCAGTTTAATTCACCTGCTGCTGTTACAAATGCCCCAAATGATTGTACTGCTTCTTGTAAAGCACAAGTTTCTGATTTGCCTATTTTAAAAGCTACAACTACAGATGTTCCAACTATGTTGGATGCCCCGGTTGCTCCTGATGCCCCTTTTAAAGCCCACATTGAGCCTGGGCAAATAGAGTATTTTATCGCTGAGAAATTTAACATTGCTGCTTCATAGTATTTGATCTTTCCCTGTTGATGCCTCTCATGCTTGTGAAGTCCAGGTTTCTATACTTCTCATGCCTCACAGACCATTGCTTCAGTCCACAAGGAAGGATGTCCTAAGTGATGTGAATCAATATATTTGTCATTCACTATAATTTTAATAAACACTTATTATCATTTATTCTTGATTAATCTTCATTTAGACTAACTTTATGCTACATAATTTTATGCTTGAAAAGGACTTTGCCTTGACAGGAAAGGCCTATTGCAAGGAATGTGCGAATCTAAGGCCCTGTTTGGTAGCCATTACTGGCTTATTCTATAATTCACTTGACTGCAGGTTTACTTGAATGATATATCGCATATCCAGCCTTATAGTTTCAAAATTGTCAATTTTCTTATTTCTTTTTTCAGAAAATGAATTGCTATTCCCGGTAATAAGTTGGTAAAATGGATAGATTCATTGCGTTTAAAAAGTAAGCATGTTTATATGATACCCTTTTTATCTGCTTTCGTTTCTTCTGAATGGATAACTAATTTCCACTGTCACAGGAAGGTGTAGCTAGGAAAGTATCAGACTGGAAGTGTAGAAGAGAATATGACTGGAGTTAAATATCTCCTCATTGAGGCCTGCTATACTTTTAGCATGATATGATTTTAAATTTCCTCTCTATGTAGATATCCTATTTTTTTTGTCTTGGTAGTTTCTGTTCTCTGATTTGTCACACTATTTTTATAATAATCATTATAACCTCTAGCACGGAAAATATTGACTTGTGTTAATTTTATCCTTAGATGTTGATGTACTTGTTGAACTTATTGATTATTAATATTGCAAAGTTAAACAATTATGCAGGCTATGTTCAACCAGATATTGAGAAGTACTCTAAAGACTTGCTTTATTGGATTTTTTTGGTGATGCTAAGGCTATGTTCAACCAGTTATTGAGAAGTACTCTAAAGACTTGCTTTATTGGACTTTTATGGTGATGCAAGGAACTATGATGTCTAGCGTGTAGCATATAAAAATTTTGTATGATTAAAGTGTAGATTTATAGCATCTTGTAATTAATATATGTAATACTTTATTGATATTGACACTGTAAAATTATTTGAGTAATAAATATAGATATTGTTGTTTTGTTTTGGCTATTTATTAATATTTCTATAATTTATATAATTTGTAACAGAACTAGAAAAAAGTAATAGAATGATTATAATAATAATGTTATTGTAATTATATGACACCAATGTGTCGTAATTTTTATGATACCAACGTGTCACAAAGTCTTATGATACCAATGTGTCATAATTTTGCATCACATTAATGTGTCATAATTTACTGACACTATTTTGTTTTGCAATCAGTGACACTATATTTAGTGTCGCTAGCCGCCACTTTCCCCGACGCTTTTTAAGTGTCGCAGAAAGTTTCAGCGACACTAAATTAGTGTCACTATAGGCCCTTTTTTTACTAGTGATGCCTCCAAAAAGGGCTAGAGGGTCTTCCTCCTCCTCCAGTGCTCCAATTCCACAAGTTCCGGGCTATGAAGACCATAAATTCACGTCTTTGGCTCACCACAAGCAATTCCTCCAACAACTCGATAGACTGGTATACCCACCCCGATTTCTTTGCCAAGTTACGTTGAAAGCATTGTTATTCTTTGATATGCTGTTTGAGTTGTGCAACAACATAGGTTTAACAATTTTTTTCAACATGTCATACAATATTTGGAAGAAATTGATGTATGAATTTTTAGGATTGGTGGAATTTTTTGAAAATAAGGAAGACACATATGAGGATAGACTCACGTTTCGGTACAACAACACACCAAGAACGTCATAGAATGAGTGGAGGAGAGAAAGACAAGGAGAGATAGCACTATTGTCCATGCTTTATGGCATAGAATGACGGGGGTTAGGGTTGTTAAGTCCTCACATATGAATGTTACACACGTCCAACACCGTGCTCTTCGAATTATGCTTAAATGGTTTGGATATCATGTTTTTGGAAGACCCAATAGCCATCAAACTAGGATGGGTGAGTTGGCTATTCTTTCTATGGGTGTCTTTTCGGGAGCCCCACGATTAGATGTTGCTTCATATCTATGGACTCATTTAAAAAAGGAATGTGAATCGGGGTGTGAGATCTTCATTGGGGGATACATACACTACATTTGTACCAAATTTGGCTATCAGGATAACAGGGAAACATGAGAGGATTTCTTCCTCAACCTCAAGTTCCTTCTAACTGCACATCATTTGAGCTCTTTACACACTATTGGTGACACGAGGTATTTCGATTGTACCATTTATCCTACCCCAACCCAAGTTTATACCATCCCCACTGAAGACCTCCCCAACATCTTTAATCATCAACTCGGGGATAGGAGACACGTTTGCCTCCTCGGAACTACCCCGATCACTACCTTGAAGAAATCCCACAAATTGAGCCTCCACCAATCCCCGAACCACCGCAAGACCAACCCCAAGATGACCCCCAAGTACCTCAATACCAAGGTTGTTAAAATCTCGATTTAAATCGTAAAATCATACGATTTTACGATTCTACATTAATAAATCGATTCAAATTGCAGGTAAAATCGTAAAAAATCATACAAAAATCATGTAGAATCGTTTAAAATCACAGCAAAATCGTAATCAGTTTGTTTTAGTGAAAATGGTTCAAATTTATTAAAATTAACTACTACAAATTGATACATAATTACATTAATTATAATATCAATAGTATATTTAAAAAAGTAATGGACTCTTGTGTTATTTAATTATTTTTATGTTTAATGTTATTATTCACTACATTTACATTATTAAAATAGTTTATAAGTCTTGTTTTGGACCTTTTAGGAATAGTTTTATGTAATGAAATGGTATAATAACATTAACTTGCAGCTTAATATTAATATTTATTTATTTTATACTTATTAAGATATGTTTGATAAAATCTTACGATTTGCGATTCGATTTTACGATTCGATTTTCAAAAACATCTACCGATTCGATTCAAAAATACGATTTTAACAACCTTTCTCAATACACCCCCTTTGAGCAACAGATGCTCAACGGCCTAAACACCCTCAATCTCAACTACACTCAACTCAGCGAAGAGGTTGGCCATTATAGGGAAAAGGTTGGCCATTATAGGGAAGAACAAAGGCAGAGCTTTGAGAGGATTGAAAAAAACCAACATCGAATTTATGGTCCTGTGTTTATCTATTTCAACCAACAAGGTTTATTCTCTATCTTCTCCACCCCTCCACCACCCCCCACTTGTTATGACCCCACATGTTGGGGTAATTTTGGAGGCTCCAGCTCTGGAGGGGATGGACATGGTGGAGGCGACTATGGTGGCGTTAGCGGCGATTTCGGAGGCAGGAATGGCAGCTATGGCGGCAGCTCAGACATGAACGAGGATGAGTATCCATATGCGGGCGGTTTTCATGACAGCTACTATGGCCATGGTGGATCTTTTGAAGGAGGAGATGCTGGCGGGCACTAGGGACAGTGTCATGGACTAGCTGGGGGAGACTATTCTAGTATGCTCTCATTTCATACTCTTTATTCTTGCTTACAAAAAAAAAGCTTGTTAGGTTGAAAACCCAAAAGGGCAACTTAAGCAAAATAAAAGCAAAAACAAGAGTGAGTTTGTGAGGATAAAAGGGAAAATGTGGGAAGCTGGGATGAAAACCCGAAAGGGCACCTAGGCAAAATGAGAGAATGAGAGAAAATATTTCTTTTATCTTTGCAGAATCCTAAGGGTACACATGAGGAGCAAAAAGAAGAGGAATCCATTGATGTTGAAGTTTTTTTTTGTTTTGATCATCGAAACATTCTTATGTTGATTATCGAAAACACTTGTGGATGGTTGTGTTTGCTGCTATTGTTATGTTGAAAACTTCATGGACAAGATATGTTTTACTCGAGATGAGTAAAAGTTCAAGTACGGGGGTATTTGATATGCACTAATTATTAGTGCATAACTTTACATTTTTATATTTAGTTGTAATTTATTTTTGGAAAAAATGATATTATTAATCCCAACTATTCACAGTACGCGTTTAATCATCCGTATTATGACCGGAAAGAATAAAGATGTGCGATTCTTCACCTGCAGATCTTCAAAAGCGCAAACCACATATTTCACTTTCCATGTGAAGCTTTCAGAGATCTTTCTGCTAAACAATTCTACAACGAAGTTTGTAAATCGTAACGGAGAAAGAGAGCCGTAATTAAACAACTAAACCTAAGAAAGAGAGTCGTGACTGTAATTTTAATACATACAAGAATCCTGTATAATCAATTATTCAATTCCATTTGATTGAAAATCACAATCACTCTCTCAACCATCTAGAAATAATATCGTAGATGACAACTTAAAATCAATATGACAACTTCCTAAGAAAAATTCTGAGCACAAGAAGAGTTTGTTGTCTTCTCCACGTTGTTGTTCATGTCACCCACAGTTCTCCGATAATTTGAAGCTCTCCATGTTGTTCGGCATAAATGAGAGGTTTAAACGGGAGAAGAAAAGTGGACCGATAAGTGCCTCATGCGCTCTGCTTTACCTTCAAATGTCAAGGGGATTTTCTCTAGGTGTTAAGGGCCAAGAGGAAGGTTAGAGGAAAACCAGTGGTTTAAATGTGGGGGTATCTGGATGGATTAACCAGTTTGTATGTTTAAAGGTTGTGGGGGTTTACCGGCAGGATAGGTATTCAGTCCAAAGGACTATTTAAAGAAATTAAAAGAGTGGTAAAAGTTGGGACAATAGAGAAATAATCAATAATAGGGATTATTAAAAACAACTCGTAACATTTTAGTATTTATTGTAAGTTGTAGCTAGTTGAACTACAAAGCCTATAAGTTTAGGATAAGTTTGGAAGCGAAAAGGATGAATAAACCTGAGTGTTGTGCAAAACCCGGTCGGGTATGAACTTTACCCGGTCGGGTATGATTACAGAGAAGCAATTACCACAAAACAAGAAAACACCCGGTCGGGTATTCATATACCCGGTTGGGTATGAAGTGATTTCGGACCAAAGGACGTGCAGAAAACACAAAGACGTGGGAAAAAGATTTGATTCGACATATACCCGGTCGGGTATGTCAAAAACCTGGTCTGGTATCCGGCCAAAGGTGTTGAAAAACACCTATAAATAGCCTCCTTTTCCTTCACAAAAAATCATCCCTTCTTCCATATACTTAAGCTCAACTTAGAATAGTATTTTCTTAATATTTTTCTAGCATGTTTAGTCTCCAAATGAGGAGCTAAACTTCCATCTCTTGGTTTTGCTCTTGAAGCTTGTTGATTATTAAAGTTGTGAGTTATTTTCTTAACTTCTCTTCTTGAATATTAATTATTCCCTTAATCTCATTCTATATTAATGTCGGGGTGTTGCTATGTGATGACTAGTTAACACTTCGACATTAATTATTACTAGAAATTAAACGATCAACAAACCGATGGTTAATCGTTGATGGTTTCACAAGTAAGTAACTTCGGTTTATTAATGCACGGTCGTGGTTAATAGACTTAAGAGGGATTTGTTGGGAATATTTTATGGTGTCCAATCTAATTAAATATCTTTGTATTTGTGTAGTTATTAATTAAACGTGTAATACGGACCACAAATGTGTATCAGCCCGTTAGCTTCCTTGTAACCCGTAAGTTAGCCAAGTTGTCCTATAAAAGGAGGCTAACTTACGGGAACCCGAATATATAGAGAAAAGGCTTTAGAGTGCGTAAAGGCGAGATAGAGAGAACGGTTTCCGCTGCTCTCCTTCTCGAGGGAGAGCAGCGGGGTTTATATGGTATACCAGATTCGGTTTTAATCTTCTCGATATCTTTCTATCTGCTTATTCTTCTGGTTATGGTTGTTTGATTGTTAAATATCTGGGTTTATCAATTGGTATCAGAGCCGAGGCGTGAAAAAGGTTGAATCTATCTGTGTTTTTCGAATCTGCTTTTTCGACAGACTCTGTTTTTCTCTAGTATTTCATTATCTCGATATTTGCCTTTGTGATATTGTTTTTTGTCGAAACTTTGTAAAAATTATACTGTTGGAATCGCCTCCTCTTACCAATTCTACATCACTTCTTTTTTTCGATTTCTGCATTTTTTCGATTTCGAAGATCTCTATACTGAGATCTCGAGATCCTATTTTTTCACCGTTGCAGAAACGATTTTGACTTGAATTTGGTACAGGAGGAATCGCGAGATCAAGGACTTTTCAAAACTATTTTCAAAATTTCAAAACTCGAAATTTTCAACTTGAAAGATTTCGAGATTTTGTTAGATCTCGATACCTTGGAAGATCTCGAGATTCTGGTTTTTATATGACATGAAAGATTTCGAAGTTTTTGAAGATTTCGACATTTTACGAATTTCTTGATGTTTTGAATCTTTCAAAGTTTGGAGTTTCTTGAAACTCAAAATCGTTCGAAGCTTGATATCTTTCTGTTCAGAACATTTCGAAGCTTAAATTATAGGATTTTTGGATGAATCTCTGCTTTTCAAAGTTTTTCAAAGTTTTCGATGTTCTGATGTTTTTTCAAACAGCAAGTTTTCGGTATTCTGACGCTTTCGAAACTCCAAAGTTTTCGATGTTCTAAACATTTTGACATTCTAAAGATTTTGAAGTCTTGAGGTGTTGTTTTTGCAGGTGGATTTCGACGTTCTTCTAAGGGATAAACTCGAGATTGTAATCTCGAGATTTAAACCTCGAGATTGTAATCTCAAAGTTTAAACCTCGAGATTGTAATCTCGAAGTTTAAACCTCGAGATTGTAATCTCGAAGTTTAAACCTCGAGATTGTAATCTCGAAGTTTAAACCTCGAGACTGTAATCTCGGGATTTAAACCTCGAGACTGTAATCTCGGGATTTAAACCTCGAGACTGTAATCTCGGGATTTAAACCTCGAGACTGTAATCTCGGGATTTAAACCTCGAGACTGTAATCTCGAAGTTTAAACCTCGAGACTGTAATCTCGAAGTTTAAACCTCGAGACTGTAATCTCGAAGTTTAAACCTCGAGATTGTAATCTCGAAGTTTAAACCTCGAGATTGTAATCTCGAAGTTTAAACCTCGAGATTGTAATCTCGAAGTTTAAACCTCAAGATTGTAATCTCGGGATTTAAACCTCGAGATTGCAATCTCGAATTTAAACCTCGAGATTAGGATTTCGAGGATTTACCTAAGAATTTTCTTTAAAATGCACCTGATCTCGATATTCCAGATCGAGAACCTCAACTTCGAAAAATTTCCTCAAAATCTCAAAATTCGCAGTTTTTGCATGTCTTCACTGTTTTGGCCATAACTTTTGACTCGGTGATCCGATTTGAGCAAACTTTTTTTTGTTGGAAAGCTAACGAAAAGATCTACATTAATTCTGATGGATTACCCCAGAACCCACTTTCACGCGCCCTCACTCGCAGTCTTTGAGGGTCAAAACGTTGGTTTTCTGAAAAACTTTGTAAATCACCGATGTCAAAAGGTCAATTTGGGCAAATCTGATCAAATTCTTTCAAAGTCAAACAAAAGGTCAAATAGGGTCTAAGCTTCAATGTAAAGGTCTGAAAATCGTAGATAATTCAATCAACCTCGCGTCAACGGTCATCTTACAACAATCAACAATCAACCACTGAAGCCTCCTCTGACTCATCAACATTATGTGATCATCAATATGTTGAAATTCTACATGATGAGTTCAGGGAAACCGTCATGTGTGGTACTTGTTCAGATTGCTCCACACACATGGCGGGTATGACAAGCTGTGAGCAATAAAACCTTGCACATTCTGAGGGGGAGTTTCAGTTTTCTCCTCCTAGCGCCTTACACCGACAAAGCAAGGAATCTCTCAAAGGATGCAACATTTTAGGGGGAGTGTTCAATGTTATCCTCCCCGGTGCCTAACAATGACAAAGCATACCGAGTGCTCCAATTGAGGGGGAGTACAGAGAGAAAATGAAGAAAGTAATGAGAGAACATGTCCCTATGGCTTAGTAAACCCAACTAAGCCTACCCTAGGGACAAAGCCGAGCGTAAGTGAGTGAGTGAGCAAGTGAGTGAGTGAAAATTATGAGCATTAGGAAGCAGAAGGCTCAAGTGAGCAAGGAAACAATTATCACTGATAAGTCTGCTACCTCAATTGCCTACTATCCATTGAACATTTACTACTAGCCACTCAAATACTCTGGACTATCCCCATTGGTTCAGGACTGAATTTATTCAGATCCCGGGTAGAAGTCGTTGCATTTTGTCCAAACGGCGCATGCACAACCCTACCCTTAGACCACTCACTTGTCTCTCAACAGACAGGTGTTTAATCACATTTCACGGGGAACCTCATCTCTCATTACTGTCTCCTTCTGAGACAAGTGATACTGACAACAGTGGCCTCAGCCCCATGCCACTGAACTTTCATTGATCACGTCGTGTCTAGTTACTCACTCCTAAATGTTTTGAAAATTTCTAGGACACAGACACATTTTAGAGTCAGCTTCTAGTCTTCAAGACTTGCGAGAACTTCCATAGGGCTCATCTATTACAGATGTAGACCAATAATTGGAAGCAAGTCCTGCTGTTGCAACATAAGAATCACCAACATTTTCAGGACATTGTTTTAGAGTTTATCTCTATAGTGATGATAACGGGCGTCTTCACGACCCCGGGGGGCTACGTTATCTTCTTTACATTCTGCTTGTTTTTCATGTTTTATTTCTGCAGAATAAAAGAATAAAGGCATGACGCTCCAAGTCATCGGATCGTCATGAGGGGGAGAGTGATCCACATGCCGTTAACTGTAAAAAAAATCATTCTGGGACACTTCTCTCCTCCAAAACTCTCTCTACTATTTTCGCAACTCAAATGGTCAGCTACGCTCACAAGTCAACCATCATTATGTTCCGCTATGCCACCGACAAGTTCTCCTCAAATGCATTCATTCCAAACAGTCAAAAAGACTACATTGTGGAGGGGGACAAAGGTCAGATACTCAATCTCTTGAAGATGAATTCCATGGGCGTCTCCTATTCTCCAAAGAACATTCATTCTAGAGGCGTCACTGGACTTCATCCAAGCTGATCAAGAGCAACTTCTGTAAGGCAAGGACTACAAACAAAAGATTCCTCAACCCCCGGCATCAAATATCAAATTGCAAAGAAGACATCAAAGGGGAGGTTGCAAGGATTTCTTCATAAAGCCTTCTCAAGAAGTCAAGTTCAAAGACAAAGGAAGCTGAATAACAACAAAGACAAAGATATCTGCGCTGCAATGCTGATTCAACACGATTCAACACCAAGGGGGATATTGTTGGGAATATTTTATGGTGTCCAATCTAATTAAATATCTTTGTATTTGTGTAGTTATTAATTAAACGTGTAATACGGGCCACAAATGTGTATCAGCCCGTTAGCTTCCTTGTAACCCGTAAGTTAGCCAAGTTCTCCTATAAAAGGAGGCTAACTTACGGGAACCCTAATATATAGAGAAAAGACTTCAGAGTGCGTAGAGGCGAGATAGAGAGAACGGTTTCCGCTGCTCTCCTTCCCGAGGGAGAGCAGCGGGGTTTATATGGTATACCAGATTTGGTTTTAATCTTCTCGATATCTTTCTATCTGCTTATTCTTCTTGTTATGGTTGTTTGATTGTTAAATATCTGGGTTTATCAGGATTAATTTTGTTG